TGTTTTGGAAAGCAATTGAAAAAAAGGACTGTCACTCGTTCAAATTTCTGTCGTACATCTGTCACAAATGCTGTACGGGAACACTTCCACTTGCTTCACGGTGTGCCAACATTTGACCTTGTGGCTTATGCCTTACATTTCCCACTTCAGCAACATCCTACTCTATCGACTGTTCTGTCTGTATTATCAAAAATCGAAACTTTGACTTGATTCGTCCAATACGCCGCTTGAAGCGTGGCCGCTCGAAGACGCACTTCTTCCCATGCGTCTCGGTGAGGACCTACCCTCAACCATCCAAAAAGTGTGGTTTTCGTTCGTATGTTCTCATCAAAACTATAATACACATATTCGTGGGTGGAAACTTTGTATGTTGTCTCTTGTGATCATCACAATTAGACCTATTCGTGCTGGGGAAGAACGCAAGAATTTTCCGAGAGGATTCCTTCAAAGGCGGAGTTCACGAAGGAAAGGCAGCTCATTAGAAATCAAGGTAGGATATGTGGTATGCAGTGGTACACGATGAAGGAAAACCATGAGAAACGGCCCAGAACCCGAGAAATGGGACCCCTTCCTTGCCCGTTGATTTCCGCATTGATGCGACTCTCATCGGGCCGCCCTCTTCAACGCTAAGGTTCTAGATATACTTTCCCTTCTTCCACCTCCAAGCTTATCGTGGATTCCTCCTATGAGTGGAAACTGTTGAGGTAAAACAGGTATCGGCGTGAATAATGTAGCCGGGCATGTTTAAGAATTAACCATGATATTTGTTGTAAAGCAATTCCTTCTCCAGAACTCACACCGAACAAAACCTCTCGCCCAACACCTGTACATGCCAAAGGTTGCACCACGTGTTTCACATCGCACACTCGCTCCTCCATAACGCCTACTCAGCTTAGCTATGCACGCTATCGCTAAGGGTGCAAGCAACATATGCCCCGGCAATCTGGCATGGTCTTCCCGTTGGCGCAATTGGCCTGGAACGCCCACCGATTGTCTAATCACTCGCCGTAGTCTATACGCGGCGAGTGATTAGATAGCAGAGAGAGCGTAGTGTTGAAGAGGGCACAGCGATGAGAGTCGCATCAATGCGGAAATCAACGGGCAAGGAAGGGGTCCCATTTCTCGGGTTTCGGGCCGTTTCAATGGTTTCTTCTTCATCCCTGCTCCACTGACCACCTCTACCCTTATTTCCAATAAGCTACTTTTTCATCGTAAACTTTTTCATCCACCTTTAGGTGGGCAACGTTTCCTACAGGATCTCATAATTCGGTTTCGAGAAGTCTCGGTGACCGGGAAAAAGTGGATAGAGGATAGAGAAGGGAAGGACAAACGGTTACTGGTGGGTCTGGCGTGTGCCGAAGAGCGGAGTTTCCCAACAAACTTATAATTCGGTGCGCAGCAGCAACGAAGACGGTTGAAAAAAAGGGAGAAGTTCATTGCTGAGCGGGGATGATACGAAAAGGGTTGGGCTTAAAATTCCAAAAATGCCAACATGGCGCGTCCTGAAAAGAAGGAACATCGAGATAGCAGTTAATCAGTCCAGCAGGGACGATTCAAAACATATATTATAAAAAGAACAACTCCTGTGGGCAACTGCGGAGGCCGTACGTACACTAGAACTGACGGGAGCAGAATGCGTTCCGTATCACAAGGAGAAGGAAAGCACTCCACACCCTCTGCTTTCAACTTGTTTTTTGAGCCAATAAATTTTTACCAATTTTGGGCAAATAGTCGAACAGTTGGTTTGCTCCTAGTCCCACTGTATTTGATATAGTAGGATTTGCAGTTCCAAGGAGATCGAGTAGCACTAAGACACATCTGCCAACATTACTTTACTAGACCTTGAACGATTGGCAAAGCTAGGCAAGCTAACACATCGGCTCTCTGGTACCGGGTATATACAAAAAGCATTTAATTTAACAGAGCACAGAACAGGAGAGCCGAAGAGTCAGAATGTATGGTTTGCGAAAAAAAACTGAAGCCACTCACTATCCTATCGATTTCTCGACTCAGTTCAAAGTTTGTGCCAGTTGTAGTGGGATACCATTTGGTTTCCCACTTCTTGGCAAGATGACGAGATCCGTAGAGAGAATCAGTTTCGGTCCAGTCTACAAACGCTTCTTCACCATCGAAGAAGATTAGTTGTAGCGCTATATCCTGAAAAAAGAATGGTACAGCCCGCACTGCGAAGTGCTCGCTCTCTCTTTTGGTTAGAAAAACTCTCAAAACGAAAAGAAAAAGGGAGCTGGGAGATCGTGTCTACATGATGATAGCTACATCGCTTAATCAGTGGCAGTAATTCAATATTGATCAAGGCGTTTGCGACCGACACGTATCTTGCGCTTCAGTCCACACTTCTGGACGCTCCGTTATTCGAGCCCGGAGTGAGTTACGCCCGACCTTGCCACCTGTTACAGGATTCTCTTCTCCGAGAAAGCTTGGCGTTAATGAAGTTCCTCAAGGAGAGCGTCCTCGATCTTGCGGGTGTTGGGGGTATAACGGCTCTGCAATAGCGGCTGCACCCAAGGCAACTTCGCTCGAAGCAGGAGGAATCATTCCAAGAAAATCGTGATTCCAACTCACCCATAATTCATTGGCTTGCCATCGTTCACGATAAGAACGAAAAGAACAGAAAAATTGCACACTTTGGAAAAAAAAAAGTCGAGAAACCGAAAGGGCTGCTCGAATGTCCCGCCGGACATCTGTCACAATATGCTGCGACGGGAATTGATTCATTTGGTTCACGGGACGACAAGATGCCTCAGGGCATTAACATCTTACACTTCTATGACACCCTATCCTGTCGATCGATTTGTCTCTACTCTCCAAAATCGCACGCTTTAGCTCGATTCTTTCATTGTATCGCCTGATACGTACCCGCCCCAAAACGGACTTCTTTTCACGTGCCACTTACCTTAGGTTGTCCATAGAGTGTGGTTTTTGAAAGTTTCTTTCTCTTCAGAAATAAGATCTTTGTGCGGTGAACACTTTACGATGTTGTCTCTAGTGTTTCAAATGACATATGAAAGTTGGAAAAGAATGCAAGATTTCTCCGAGAAGCATTCATCTAAAGCACGGGTCACGTTTAGGTCCCTAGAGAAATTCTCCCACTTAGTATAATAGCACGACCCTTAACAACAGGGAAAGTGGTCCTGTCGCGACTTATAGGCGAAGATCAGGCTCAGGCATGCTAGACAAGTAATTCCCGTGCCTGGAGGTTGTATGTGGGTAGCTGCACACATTGCAGCAACTTCCCACCTTGAAAAACCCCGTTAAGGCCCCGGGGCGTTCGGTTTCAATCCAGGGCCGCCTGGTCAATCCAGGACCGCCCACCTCCGGAAGTGGTGCGTGGCTGGCATAACGTGTGAAATCAGCTAGGTTGATTGCCGTAACCGATAGAACGACTGACATCTCCAGAAAACTTGTTTGTACGTGCCTCTTTCCCAAGCCAGCCTCCTTCACTGCTAGTGGGGAAGAGGGTTTTGTTAACGGCCTTGTCGACGGTTTTTCTCAGTTTTTTCTCCACTGTCGTTCCACTTCGCATCTCTATACTCAGTTTCAATCGCCATAATACCCCCTTATTGAGCCCGACTTTTGCCTTTAAAAGTCTACAAAGGAGCAATAGCCTCATTTGATCGATGTCGTGGGTCTGGGACAACCATTGACTATGCACGAAATGAGGGATTGGACCTGAGTTGAATGCGCGGGTGGCAGGTATTACACTACGTCCTCACAAGAGGAGGGCACTTCGAATTCGCGCAGTTTTTATCAGCGCTCCTCTCCTTGGCATTAACAACGCTTTTTTCCAGAATTTTTCGATTATTGTTGGAAACGCAAAGAATAATCGAGTGGTTGCTCCTTCCACCCAACTCCTAAAAAAATTCACACACCTGTGCGACTCGTTTATACATATAATAGGGTGAGAGCGATTTTGCAATATCCATCATCATAGCACATGGAACAGCCGAGTCCGAAGCCGCAATCATTACCCGTCTAAACTTGAAATTGTTAGTTTAAATGAATCTTCCGCGGAAAAGATACATTATACGACGAAAACGATACCCCTTCATGAGCATAGCAAAAAGAACGGAACATAAGCGTTAGTTTCGATAATACTAATCCTACACACAAGACAAAATGATCACTCTTTCCGTGGAAGATTCCTTTAAGGTATCGTTTTCTGTGGTAATGAGGGCGGAGCTTTTTCCGTGGAAGATTCCTTTAACATCAAGAATATCGTATACTGTTAGATACACGGTGCTTTTCATGTAGGAGGGCCCTAGGAAATATTTTTAGTGACACTTCGCAAAACTAATTGAATGACTTATCTGAACTACTGGTGAACATTTGTCGAAAAAAAACGATGGAATTAAGAAAAAATTGCCGAAAACCCGGATTTAGTCTCTCACAACGAAAAAAAAAAATCCGTACTTTGCAGTCGCCAGCCTGCAGAACAAGGCGCTCGTGTCCTCGGGAGGGGGGGAAAGTTCATCTATGCATACATTCCCACTCCTTTGAAACACAACAAACACCTTCATATTTTACAAATGAATCAAAAAGAGATCAGAAAAATTAATACTCAATTTCAAGGCTCGAGCGAGAAAATAAGGCCGAAGTGAAGCCAAAGTGGGAAGGTGTTGAAGAGCTTTGTAGATCATACGCAGTTTTTGATAAGAGCAATAGCGTAATTGCTCTGAAAATACTACGCGGTTTTACATTTGGTATGTCGTTTTGGTTTCGTCTCTTGTGATGCCATCTATTACTTGAGAGTGTCACTGCACTTAAGGGGCACGGCGTGGAGTTCAGGGATCTTCAGGCTGAGCTTTGGAGGCGGAGGAATTTCAAGCGTGAAAATGAAAACCGCCTATGCAGGATAAGGTCCCTCTTCCTCACACCTCTGTCCCGCCCTTAACCACAAGCGTACGTCCTAGAGCCCGAACCTTCAATCCTTTTTGTAAGATCTACGGAAGTGACAAAAGGAAGCAGCAATCGGAGATTCCACATTTTGTGGGAGGCCATTGCAGAACGATATTTCAAATGATTTTCAATTCTACTTTCGAAAACTTTCAAAATTAGCGGTAATAGTTCTGCTGGAGGTTTTTTGATGGCTAGCATTATTCTTAACAAGCGTTCACAGCTTAGAAAAACTAAATCGCATTGAGCCTTTCCGCTTTGGGATACCACTCCCCGAGCGCCGTATTATATTTCAGACTCTCAATAAGGACGGCCACATTCAGCAAAAATTCTGTACTGAACATACAGGAAAGGCTGAAAAAGGCATCTTGCCCATGCTGCACTTCAGCGACTTATTCAGCTCTCCTTCACTGCCCTCACAGTCTTTAGAACATGATGTCATTTGCCATCGTCGTATATCTCAAGGAGAACTACCGTAGTTGCCCCATCTGAAGCTTTAAATATTCTGAATGCGATCACCGCTTGAATAGTTTATTAGGAGACATTAGCTTCTGATATGATACATCCGGCAAGACGTGTTCTTCAAGAACGAACGAAGTGGTACACGATCCCTCGAAGACCACGTTCAGCTCGACCAGTGCACCATTTTCCGCGGCAGCTTTTTCATGACGTACACGTAGAAGGCCACTATGCAGTTTTTTTATGTAGTGAAAAATGCTCTTCAATTTCAAGTTGGGAGCACTCAATTCTAATTTAGCAAAGAGGTCACATTCATTTGAGTGTGAGAGTGTCCTCTTTCCCCTGTACATTCCATGTCATATCGTAGCAGTGTCCGTTAAAATCCAGGCATACGATCTCTCCACACTCTGGAGAGACCGATGGTGTGGATAGCAATAGTGATCGACCTTACACACTTACAACTCTCAAATCTTTGAAGGGTCAACGGGATGAAACGCAATAGGTAAATACATGGGGAGGCAATGGAACAAGGACGGAATTAATTACCCTTTCACTGTTTTCAAACAGAAGCATACCAACTGAAAATTGAAGAGCAAAGTCCACTGTATCAAAAAACTTTATAATAGCTTTCTATGCGACGATAACAAAAGAATCTGCCGCGGAAACATGGTATAGGGTTCGAGCTCAATGTCCTCGACGGATCGTGGGAAATTGAGAAGTTATGTGAAACAATGACCGGAGGAAGTCTTGCACATTCAGAGCTACTAGATCTGGCAAGCTATCGATCAGCCAATCCATCAAAAAAAAAATTATTGGGCAACTTTAGGCTGGAGCGATTGCGGTACGTCTCCTTGAACGCAACCGCGATGGAATGACGTCATATTCTGAAGACGACGAGAGGAGTAAAAGAGGGCCTGCTCCTGCTGGTGGTGAACAGGGCATCTAAGGACTGATTCCACGTTAAGCTCCCATCCATGGGGGCACCTCAGTGACGAGAAGATTGCTGATGTACGCCATGGGCAAAATGACTGCCGTGTTCCATACTTTCTTTGGATCTCGCAAACCTGACTTTTAAAGGAGGAATTCACGATTAGAATGAAGGTCGAAGAAAAGGAATTGACCTAGTTGAGGGACCCACGGACCTCCTGAGGGTGCGAACTGACGCGCAATTCGCATGAAAAATTTGACCTCGGCGACCTATCATGCCTCAAAGTTGGCGGGTCCGGCGATCTCCGCCCACCGATCATCTGATCACTCGCCGTAGTATACGTGGCGAGTGATTAGATAGCAGAGAGAGCGTAGTGTTGAAGAGGGCACAGCGATGAGAGTCGCATCAATGCTCAAATCAACGGGCAAGGAAGGGGTCCCATTTCTCGGGTTCTGGGCCGTTTCTCATGGTTCTTCCTTCTTTCGTGTACCACTCACCATCCCTAGTTAATTTGAAATGGGTTGCCTTTCCAGCGTGAATTCGTCCTTTAAAGAAATTACATTTCACCCAAGAATGGGACCTGATTGGCCAGAGACAACCGCTGCCACCGAAATCACACAAAACGACCCCCAACACGTCCGCTCGGCTACGGTGAAAAATAACATCATTCCTTGTACAAGTGCCTTGCCACCTTTTTAAGATAAGAAATTTAACCCATAACGGACGGCCAGTGTATTTTTTGCGTGCGCCACCATGTGGCGCACGCCGCCACCCAGGGTAGGGTTTATGTAGGCTTATGTGAACAGCAGGGGTAAGACGGGGCTAAAGTAGGTGTCGGAGTCTCATCATCCAAAAAAGAGATTTCCGTTGACGACAAGTTCGTAGCCCGCCTTTCCGCTCTAAAACTAGGGTGCAAAGAATGAATGGAAGCTGTAGGTGACATTATCGAAAAATGCGAAACAACAACCCCGAGCAAGGATGTGGCTATATTTAGGGGAAGGGGTCTCGGGACGTGCGAACCATGGGTAAGCCACCCATCAAATAGTAAACTTATGTAAATTAAGACAAAATTTATTGTAGGTTTGTCAAAAATCCAGCCGTCCAGGTCCTGGGAAGATATGTTATTCCACATTGCTGAGAGTATATATGGGTATATTAAGATTGCTAGAAACATTCCAAAACAAAAGA